CTGTTAGAACAGAAGAAGGCTTTGACTTTAATAAAATCCAACTCACACTTTTTTTCTATTATGACTCATAATTTTAATACTGTATCTAGATCATCACTAAATCCAAAGTCATCTAAATTTTTTCTAATGTTATTATCTAGAAATATTACAATTTTAGGGGGCCAGCAAGCGGCCACATGGTCAACCATGGTTTAAGTCCCGGACTAGGTAGTTCGTTTTCTCACTTTCCCACTTTCTCTCTGGTCAAATGAAAATAAATTAATTAAGGGACCAGCAGGTGGCATGGTGCCAAACCTGGTGGCTTGCTTTCTTACTTCCTTAGTTCTTTTAAAAAGTTAAAAAAATGAATAAATAAAATTAAATAATTTTAAAAACAAAGAAACATTATAATTTTATGATTTATGTTTAGTTCTACCATTAATCCATGTTTTTTTTAATCTATTATTATAACATATTTTCTTTAAGAATTATTTTATTTAACTTTATTTATTTATTTTAATTTGACCAGAGAGAGAGAGCTGCCAGGTCTGGGACTCAAACTGTGGTCAGCCATGTGGGAGTTAAGCACTCTTAACTACCATGCCACCTGCTGGCCCGCATGTTGGTTAATTTTTGTGAACAATGTAAAGTCTGTTTATATCCTCAGTTTTGCATGGTATGTCTAGTTTTTCCAGCACCAGTCATTGAAGACTAGCTTCCTCCAAAGCTGCCTTTGCTTCTTTGTCAATTGCCAATCAGTTAACTATTTTATATTGGGTTTATTTTTGAACTCTTGTTCTGTTTCATTGCTCTATTTGTCCATTATTTCACCAATATCACAGTCTTGATTTCTGTAGCTGTCTAATAAGTCTTGGGGTTGGATTGTGTAAATTCTCCAACTTTGTTCTTCTTGATCATTACATTAGTTATTCTGAATCTTTTAACTTTCTTTCTTTTTCTTTTTTAAAGAATTATATTATTTAACTTTATTTATTTTAATTCAGCCAGAGAGGGACAGAGTGAAAGAGAGAGAAAGAGAGAAAGCAAGAAAGCAAATTGCTAGGTCTGAGACTTGAACCATGGTTGGCTATGTGGGAATCCAGCGCCCTTAGCGACCACACAACCTGTCGACCCCTATTCTAACTTTCTAAATAAACTTTGGAATTGGTTTGCTAATTACCACAAAAAAATCTTGCCAGGATTTTGACTGGCGTTGAACTGAAGCTATAGATCAAGTTGGAAGGAACTCTCATTCTAACATTATTTGAGTCTTCCAATGCATAGACATGGGCTACTTCCCCATCTAGTTAGATCTTTTTTATTTCTTTCATCAGAGTTTTGTTATTCTCCTAACCTAGATATTGTACGTATAGCTAAGTATTTTTCTTTCTCCCCCTCTTTAAAACTGTGGTTTGATCCTGGACTCAGCAGCTTGAAAAACACTGATGAGTGTGTGTGTGCCAAAATTCTGAGAGCAGAAATGGCGAAGGCATTGCAGCGTGGCCATCCCAAAAGGTGCTTTCTCACTTTCCCTCTCTCTCTCCCCGTGTCTCTGTCTTTTTCTGGTGAGCACATGTGCCCCACAGCGAAAACAAAACAAAACACACAAACAGAAGGAAACTTGCCTATAGCCAATCTGCCAGTAAATATCTGGGTTTAAACTCAGGTCTGTCTGATGTTAAAACTCGTGCTGTCATCTGTTAGGCGACAGTATCTCCTCCGGTGTCCTTTGCCTGTGGTTTGTGTCCTTTGCCTGTGGTTTGTGTCCTTTGCCTGACATTTTACTTGCTCCAGGAAGCCATCTTTCAGTTCACCCAAAGAACTTCCTCGCATGTTTCATCTGGAACACTTAAGATGCTTTCAGCTTCAAGTGACAGAAAACTCGATCTCAAATTGATTCAACAAGAATATTGATTATCTCCTATGACAAGAACTCCAGAAGCAGGGCAGCACCACATCTCAAAGTCTTCCCGACTCAGCAACCTTGCAAAGCCAGGCTCATTCTTCCTCTTTACTCTGCCATCTTCCATGTCGGCCTAGTCCTGAGGATCTACAGGTGGTCATTAAGATGGCCATTCCAGTGTTGGGTACCACAGCCAGACGCAACGACACGCAGCATCCAGTAAAGACGGTGGTGTGTTTCCCTGTGTGTTTCTGTTTACGAGTCACAAAACCTTCCCAGAAGTCTCTCAGTAGGCCTCTCCTCAGTCTCACTAGCCAGGATGGGGGTCACATGTCCACCCTTAATCTTTTTCTTTTTTTTAATGCCAGAGGGTCTGTGTGCATACACGCATGCACGAGAGAGAGACTGATTATTTCTTAACAGAGCCTGGTCACACCACAATCCTTTATCCTCCAGTTCTCCATCCTGTCCGTATCCTGGCACATGCACATGCATGCCCAGCTCATTAGCCACTCGGGCAGGGATGGGAGCTCTGGTCAGCCATGTGGGATCTGGCTTCCTTTGTGCAGCACTTGACTGCTGAACTATGGGGCCAGCCCTACTCCTAATCTTTTATAGGCCAGTTAAAAGCATCCTATTCCCCTTGCTCATGATTGGTTTAGAAACATAACACTCAGATGGTAACAGGTCATGTTCCTGATGGGTAAACACCTACAAAAGGCCTCTGTAAAGAGCAAGGAGAGGGTGGATGAGACCAGCCAATAGCATAATGGTTATGTTGCCGGACTTCCATGTAGTTGAGCACAGTTTGAATTCTGGACCCAGTGGATTAAACCTCACGCTGGGTGCGTGTGCATGCATGTCCAAAATCCCGAGAGAATGAAGAAGGGATTGTGGTATGGCTAAACCTTCGGAGAGCTATTTCTTGCTTTCTGTCTCTCTCTCTCTTTCTGTCTGGCAAGTACACACAAAAAACCTCTCTTAAAAAAAAAAAAAAAAGAGGAAGGAGAGGGTGGAATGGATGTTGAATAAGCAATCAATAGTATATGCTGCCTATTCTTAATGAGGTATGCTACATAATACATTGCAAATTACTAAAATACTTCATTATAACTGTCACTTTTTTGTTTTGTTTTTACATTCTGCCTTCTAGCACTTACTGTCAATGTATCAGCTTTCTCATTTGCACAAAGGAAAAACTGATTTGTAAGGTTCCTTCCAGTTCTGGGAGTTCCGTTTCAGTTTTGCATCTTTACTTTCTGAAAAGCAAACTGAAAAGTGAAACTTACAAGATACCATCCGGAAATGATCATTTCAACAGATACATTATTAGCATCGCTCTCTTTAAAAAATAAGACATAGACATTAGATTTTTAAAAACAAAACAGACTTGAGACCAGCAGATGGCGTAATGGTTACATTCCTGTACTCCCACATAGTCGACCATGGTTCGAGTCCCAGATCTGGTGGCCTAAAACTCATGCCAGGCGTGTGCATGCATGCCCAATACCCTGAGAGGAGAATGGAGGAGAAGGGATCGTGGCATGGCTATACCCCCAGGGGGTGATTTCTTGCTTGCTGTCTCTCTGTCTCTCAGACACAAATGCATGCATCTTACAACAAAAATCTTCCAAAAACAAAAACAAAACAAAAACTGAACAAACTGAAACTTGTAATGCCCTTAATTTAAGCTTTAACATTAAAAGTAGAAAGGTGGTACAGGCAGTAGGTACCATAGTGTGACACTGGAGCCATGTAGGAAGGTCCGGCTTTCGATCCTAGGTTGACCCGAGCACACAAGGTCCACCTGTGGGTTCACCCATGATCCTGGCTTGAAGGAATGCTAAGGGTGGGAAAGGGATCATGAATGAATGAGACCTTGTGAAGGGTACATATCTTTTTTACTCTCTTTTTCTCTTAAACATAAACAAATTAGGGAAGGTAAGGGTTCAATCTTCCTCACTCACCCATTAACACCTACTAGCATTAGTTGTCAGTATAGAGTTTGATCAGATCTTTTTCCTAACTTACTTTCTGACTTCCTCATTGGGAGTCAACAATCTCCTGGAGCCCATGTGAGACTCTGGATAGCCCTGTATCTCTGCTTTGGCTACTAACTACGCCTTAATATAAATTATTTCCAGGTTTGCTTCCTGTCATGACCCATGTTCTGAAGTACTGCTCCATTCATTTCACTGCACATGGCCAATTCCCCAATGTGGAACTGCAGGAGACTAAAGAGAGACATCCATTACTGGTACCTGTGCTACTCATTCTTCCAATAGGAGCGAAATTGCTTACGCTTACCATCAGCTGTCCTGGGAAACTGCTGGCTTGACCTACAAGCAGCCCCATTCTCATTTAACAGAAGACTACAATTTTTCTCTTTTCTTTTTCTTTTGGAGAGGTTTTTTGTTATAGGGTGCATGCGCTCACCAGAAAGACAGAGAGAGAGTGAGAGACAGAAAGCGAGAAATCACCCCCAGGGGGAATGGCCACGCCGCAATCCCTTCTCCTCCATTCTCCTCTCAGGATCTTGGGCATACACCCACTCGCGCACGGCGTGAGTTTAAGCCACCGGGTCTGGGACTCGAACTGCAGTCAACTATATGGGAGTCCAGCGACACAGCCATCACGTGAACTGCTGGCCCCATTTTTAAAAACATTTATTTATTTATTCATTTATTTTAATTTGAACACAGAGAGAGAGACAGTGAGAAAGCAAGCCACCAAGTCTGGGACTCAAACCATGGTCAGCCATGTGGGAGTGTCCAGCACCTTAACCACCACGCCACCTGCTGGTCCCGAAGACTACGATTTGTAACAAATGTCCACCACCAAAACAAGTGAAAGACATCTGTGTTATGTAAGACATTTGGAATAAAAAATGTATAGAGAAACATGCAAGTGATTTAACCTGATGTGGTCAACCTCTAATTCCTTTGACCCTTTCCAGCTCAGAGCTGTCATGCCCACTAGGAGGCCCAGGGTACAGTTCAGCATCACACTTGCTGGTGCAAACAACACTGGTCTCAGTCACCAGACGCTGCATGTCAGGGTCCACTGCACCAGCTCCGAGGGTCTTAGACAACTCACTTTACATCCTGATTCAGCTCACCTGCTGATCCCATGGCCTCGTGTTGGTGCATACAACGGAGACAGTGCTGACCAGAGCAGGAGGTGAGAGGATGGATGTAAAGTCCAGCTGAGTGACCTCGGATCCATCAAAGCACCTCTTCCAGCTTCTTGTAGCTGTCATCGGAGAAAGATCCTTGCGCAGCCCGTCTTGCCGGGTTGTTGCAAAAATCAAATGAGAATACGAGTATGGAAGTTTATTTTTATTTTAGAAGTTTTTGCCATAGGGCATGTCCGCTTGCTGGAGAGAGACAGTGAGAAGGAGAGGGAGAAATTATCCCTCCCTGGGGGAATGGCTATGCTGTAATCTCTTCTCTATTTTCCTCTCAGAATTTGGGGCACACATGTACACGCATCTGGCAGGATTTTTAAGTCACCAAGTCTGGGACTCGAACTGTGGTTGGCCATGTGAGAGTCCAGTGCCTAAACCACCACACCACCTGCTGACCCTGAGTATGAAAGTACTTTAACAAAATGACGTTATTTTTTCAAACATGGAATTGTTTCTGCACTTTTTTGTGGGGGGGGCACATGATTACTGCACACCACATGCCGGCTGATAATGCTGTTCCAGAGGTTACACTCTGAAGGACTGTATAGTACATCTCTCCTCTCAAATATTTCCTTCCACTCCATCTCTGAGTGCAAATACCGCCGCCATGTGAAATGCGGCTTAGGAGCCACTTGCAAAGCTCAGCCTACCATAAACTGTGAAGGTAAGTGTCATAAGTGACAGCCACACTCAGTACGCAGCGAGAGTGCAAACGAAGAGAGACCATGTCACATCACAAAAGCTTCCGGAATGTACCCCTACGACACCAGATAATTTCATACTTTTGGTTTCTGTTCTGTCCCCCCACCCCACTTTCATTCTTCAGGAACAAGAAGGTATCTTCTCTTTGTAGCTCTAAGAGGCGGGCAGCGAGAACGTCTCAGTACATATTCAGGTATGGAATGAATGCCTAAACCACCAACAATAACAAACCCTGTGGATTTTAACATGTACCCAGGCCAACACGTCCACCAGCTTTAAATCAGTCCCATACATAGGGTGGGAAATGTGCCCCAAACATCCTGGCAACCCCCCCGGAAGGCGCCTGCGTTGACTGAACCATGCGCCAGACACAAGCACGTGCTATGGCCATTTAATCCTCACAACGCGCCTTCGAGCTTTAAGCCTATTTCACGGACGAGGAAAACGCTGAGGCTCAGAGGGGCTAAAGTGACCCGTGTCGCATCTAGTGAAGCCACCACGCGTGCGTGGGCGCTGCAACACCCCCGCGCCGTAACATCGGATCAGCGTCTCCAAATCCCACCTTGCGTACCTCCGCCCCCAGGCACTAGCTCGGCTTCTCTCCCGCCGGCGCCTCCGCGCGGCCAGGACGGCCCAGCGCAGGCCCGATCTGTACCTGAGCCCGAAGGATGCTAGCGCACGCACGTGCTCCTCGCGGCCCCGAAAACCTGCGCCACCTACGCAGTCGGTAGCCCAGGGCGCCTCGGAAAGAAAAAGAGCCG